AGAGTGAAAAAGTTGGCTTAAAGCTCAACATTCAGAAAACTAAGATCATGGCATCTGGTCCCATCACCTCATGGGAAATAGATGGGGAAACAGTGGAAACAGTGTCAGACTTTATTTTTTTGGGCTCCAAAATCACTGTGGATGGTGATAGCAGCCATGAAATTAAAAGATGCTTACTCCTTGGAAAGTTATGCCCAACCTAGATAGCATATTTTTTTTTAACAATATGATATCACTTTTATGTAGAATCTAAAAAGTACAACAAACCAGTGAATAAAATGAAAAAGAAACAACTTTACAGATATAGAGAGCAAATGTGTAGTTACTAACTGCAGTGGTGGCATTACTGGAGTGGGAGGGAGAGAGGTATAAACTAATGGGTGTAAGATAGGCTTAAGGATATATGGTAAAACACGGAGTACAGCCAATATATTGTAATAGCTGTAAATGGAAAGTAACTTTTAAAAATTATATAAAAATAAAATTAAACTTAAGAAAGACATTTTGTTACCTAGATAGCATATTAAAGAGCAGAGACATTACTTTGCCAAGTAAGGTCCGTCTGGTCAAGGCTATGGTGTTCCAGTGGTCATGTATGGATGTGAGAGTTGGACTGTGAAGAAAGCTGAGCACCGAAAAATTGATGCTTTTGGACTGTGGTGTTGGAGAAGACTCTTGAGGGTCCCTTGGACAACAAGGAGATCCAACCAGTCCATCCTGAAGGAGATCAGTCCTGGGTGTTCATTGGAAGGACTGATGCTGAAGCTGAAACTCCATTTGGCCACCTCATGCGAAGAGTTGACTCACTGGAAAAGACCCTGATGCTGGGAGGGATTGGGGGCAGGAGGAGAAGGGGACAACAGAGAATGAGATGGCTGGATGGCATCACCGACTTGATGGGCATGAGTTTGAGTAAACTCTGGGAGTTTGTGATGGACAGGGAGGCCTGGCGTGCTTCGATTCATGGGGTCACAAAGAGTCAGACACGACTGAGTGACTGAACTGAACTGAACTGACTGAATGTGCACATACATAATGGTGACATGATTAAAATCATTAGTTTACCCTCCAGAAACGTCTATGGCTCTACAGTTACTCAAGTCCTTTATTTCAGTGTCATGTCAATACTTTGTTTTGGCTTTTTCATAAATGTTTCCTGCATATTTCTTGTGTGTTCTTTTTCAATATTGCTATTATAATTGATGTATTTTGTTATATTCCTAGCTATTGCATATATGTAGGAAAATTGTTAGATTTAGAAGAAGCTAAGATTTCTTTCCTATGAAATGAGGAGATACAGTTAGAACCTTCAATAACTCTGACATTCTCTGACTCTCTAAATGTGACTCTTCTCAGAAATTTTTTATGTGTTATACTTTAAAAATCCTTCTCTATAATTATTAATAAAAATCCTCCCAGCCAGGTTTTGTTGTTATTTTATAGTTTTTGGTATTTTTAAAATTAAAATTTTTCTTCATTCAGAATATATATATATTTCTCTTTTCCAAGACATAAGATATCATTGTATTATAATTGATATACTTTGTTATGACAGCTAGAACTGGCTTAGCCAAATACTGCAAACTGCATGGATTAAATGACAGAAATTTTTTATCTCACAGTTCTAGAGGCTGTAAGTCAAAATTCAGCTTATCAGCAGGGTTGGTTCCCTCTGAGGGCTTGAGGGAAGGATCTGTTCTAAGTCTCTCTGTTTGGCTTATAGATAACTTATCTTCTCCTCAAGTGTCTTCATACTGTCTTCATTCTATGTGTGTGTGACTCTGTTCAAACATCTCCTTTTTTTATGGATATCAGTTATATTGGGTTAGGGTCCACCCTAATGACCTCATATAACTAATAATATTTGCAATGGCCCTGTTTCCAAATAAGGTCACATTCTGAGGTTCTAGGGGTTAGAACTTCAACTTACGAATTTCCAGGGTATACAGTTCAGTTTCTCACAAATGGATTCAACATTATTCTTTTCCTGTGAAATTTCCAGTTGTTTCAGTACTATTCATTCAGCTATTTTAATGCTGCTTTATCACTTACTAAATTACCATTTTTATTAGGTAGGCATTTTATGATTTACCTCTTTTGTTTTCCTGTCCTGTCTGGCTCTTGTTAAAGGCAGGATTTGACATTGATTCTCCCAAATACTCTGATACAAAACTAAGTGTAGGTATAGTTTTGCATGGTATAGTAGAAATGAGAAGAATGGTGACTTTAGATTGAACAGGAATATTACTGTTACAGGGATTAGTATCTTTCAAGGATGTAGCTGTGGATTTCACCCAGGAGGAGTGGCAGCAACTAGACCCTGCTCAGAAGACCCTGTACAGGGATGTGATGCTGGAGAACTATAGCCACCTGGTCTCAATGGGTAAGAGTGACTTCCCTGTATAACTCAGACTTGACCAGTTAAGTACCTTTCCTTACCAGTCACTATAGTTAGGTGTTTCCTGACGTGTATATAATGACTGTGATGATCTTAATACCTTCCCTGATGGAGGTCATTACTCTCTGAAGGTTAGATGAACTACTTCATTGTAGGCCTCCTTACACTGCATCTTCTCTTTTGCCTTCTGTGCAGTCTCTCCCAATTCCTCTGATTTCTATTTAATAGGGCATCCAGTTTCCAAACCAGATGTCATTTCCAAGTTGGAGCAAGGAGAAGATCCATGGATCATTAAAAGAGACATACCAAATTGGATCTGTCCATATGAAGACCAGACAGATGGGCGACTAGGTAAGTGAAATATCAGTTTGCTTGTTTTGTTTTTATTTTGGTTGATTGATGCCTGAGGCTTATGTTTCTATCCTTGGTGAATTCTCTTACTCTTTGTTCCTGTGCTGAAAATTTCATAGGCACTCAACAAATAATTAATCAATTAAATAATTGTGAACGTTATAGGGGATAGCTATTTCTTATTGATTCTATATGTATATCTTTTGTATTAAATGTATATTGTTTTATATATTTAATGCATTTTATGAAAAGGCTTAATAGGCAATAGAAGGCAAATTTCTTCTAAAAACACAGGTTGCATTACAAAATTAAATGTCAAATACTGCTACTGTTTTTAAAATTTCAGAGAAAATTAGAGTCTAAAGAAATGCAACAGAATTTGAAAAGGCATTTTTCAGAGCACACATCTGTAGCTACTTTGAAAGATAAATTGAATATTGATGATGATGAGAAAGGGAGGTGAGGGCAAACTGTTGATGAAGGTGGGCAAGAAGAATATATGAACAAAACCTAGAAGATAGGGAAATACGGCTTTTCTGGGAAAACTTTGCTAGTTTTATTTGATAAATATATAGAAGGAACAGTGCAATTCAAGCTTGGATTCTTGGTGTGACTCTGATACTGAATCCACAGCATGATTTTGGGTTTTTCTCTTGTTTATATTAGTTGTTAATTAGGAAAGTAGAATGATAGGAGATAAAATATTTTGAGTACAGAAGAGACCTTGTTTCTTCAGCTAGAGGTGGCAGGATAATACTAGCCAAGTATATAGCAGATGGTTTATAAAATAAATGAATTTGAATGGTGAAAAGCATTTACACTCTGAAAGCAGGAGAAATGGGAAGATTCTAAAAGAGTAATCCAAGATTAGAGTGATAATAACTCAGTTTTCTGTCTCCTTCAGGTCTAGTTTTTTTCATGAATATTTCTCTTTAACATCTTTGTCTATTCATTCCCCTGATCATAGTGTATATTTTACTGTCTTCTGAAATGGCATCTCATCCCTGTTTGGGTTCATCACTTTTATTAGATCAATCATTTTTTATACTCCTCTGTGTTCTGTTAATTATTCTTTATGACGTTTTAATTTTCCTTTCTTTTAGACAGGAAGAGTAACCTTGACAACCCCCAATCATGTATTTTGGGGTCTGTTTCCTTACATAATAAGATATTGAAAGGATTCACAAAGGATGGTTCATTATACTCCATTTTAAAAGTCTGTCAAAGTGATGGCCAGTTACAGAGATGTCAGAAAAACAGACTTTCCACAAAAGTAACAGTCATCAACAACAAAACAATGACTGTAGAGTCAGACTACAAATATGAGGCACTGAGGAAAATATTTCAAGAGTGCATAGAGTCAGATGCTTCAAGACAAAGACCCTATAACTATGATGCCTTTAAAAAGAACTTGAAATCTAATATTGACCTACCTAGTTGTAATAAGAACAATTCAAGAAGAAACCTTGAGGAGAGTTCTGGATGTGGAAAATCATTCATCCACAGTGTGGCAAATTCTAACCTTGAGAAGATTCACAATGGAGTAATTCCCTGTAATGATATTGAGCATGGAAACATTTTCGGCAAGAAGCAATCCATTATTCATTATCAGAATGTTGAAACCAAGGAGAAAACCTGTGTGTGTGTTACATGTGGAAAAGCCTTTGCTAAGAAGTCACAGCTCATTGTACATCAACGGATTCATACTGGGAAAAAACCATATGATTGTGGTGCATGTGGGAAAGCCTTCAGTGAGAAGTTTCACCTCATTGTACATCAGAGAACTCATACTGGGGAGAAACCTTATGAATGCTCTGAATGTGGAAAAGCCTTCTCTCAAAAATCATCTCTTATTATACATCAGAGAGTTCATACTGGAGAAAAACCATATGAATGTAGTGAATGTGGAAAAGCCTTCTCCCAGAAATCACCGCTCATTATACATCAGAGAATTCACACTGGAGAGAAACCTTATGAATGTAGAGAGTGTGGTAAGGCCTTCTCCCAGAAGTCACAACTGATTATACATCATAGAGCTCATACTGGAGAGAAGCCCTATGAGTGTACTGAATGCGGGAAAGCCTTCTGTGAGAAGTCCCACCTCATTATACATAAAAGAATTCACACCGGGGAGAAACCCTACAAATGTGCTCAGTGTGAGGAAGCCTTCAGCAGAAAGACAGAACTCATTACACACCAGTTAATTCATACTGGGGAGAAACCTTATGAATGTACTGCTTGTGGGAAGACCTTCTCCCGAAAGTCACAGCTCATTATACATCAGAGAACACATACTGGAGAAAAACCCTATAAATGCAATGAATGTGGAAAAGCCTTCTGTCAGAAATCACATCTCATTGGACATCAGAGGATACACACAGGAGAAAAACCTTATGTTTGTACTGAATGTGGGAAAGCCTTCTCTCAAAAGTCTCACCTCCCAGGTCATCAGAGGATTCATACAGGAGAGAAACCATACATATGTGCTGAATGTGGAAAGGCGTTTTCTCAGAAGTCAGATCTTGTTTTACATCGGAGAATTCACACTGGGGAAAGACCCTATCGATGTGCTGTATGTGGGAAAGCTTTCATCCAGAAATCACAACTCACTGTACATCAGAGAATTCATAGCAGTGGTAAAAATCATAGTGAACTAAAAACACAGACAAGCTTTCAGTATTAGCTCAATGCTTAATACGTAACAGGAACTTGATTAATTTGATAACTTTGTTGAAGCATCTTTATAGAGAAAATTTTACAAGAGAATACATATCTGTAGTGTGGTGATACCTAACTCAGCAGACATGATGGAAAATAATTACATAAATGAAGGCCATTTTCACCATAGCATGTAGAGCTTTTAAAGTTATGAATTGAATGGTTAGTAGAACAAATTATGTATATAGAATGTTGTCAAAGTACATATTCCTTATTATGCCCCATAACAATAAACATTGTGAAATTGCTAATATTAACTTGGCATCATTTTGGTCATATACATTAATTGCCTATAAAGGACATGAAGAATGCTTGATTTAAAAAAATCAATTCCAAGAAACTGCATTAACAAGGAAAGGCTTGGGAGTTCCCTAATAATAGGACTCAACAATTTCACAGCTGTGGCCCAAGTTCAATTCCTGGTCAGGGAACTAAGATCAAGTTGCACAGTGCAACCAAAAAAAAAAAAGTGGGGTGAGGGGCTTAGCATGACCCCTAAAGATACATGTAAAATTCTTATACAAACATGGAAGGATAGGTTGATCAGATTCAGCAAAGGTGATAGTTGCACATTTTCCCATTTCAAGCATATAAGTTGATCTGTATTTTTGGAAGGATCCTTTTGAAACTGTTGCTTCTTGACCATGTCTCCTACTCCTCTTTTAATGTCTATTTACTTTTCCTTACTGAAAATTTGGTATCGTGGAAAGACTTTGAACTGAACCACATTGTCTGGGTTTTAATCCTGGCTCAACTACTCAAAAGATTGTATGACTTCAGGCAAGCCTGCTTTACCTATCTGAATATTTTTTCTTACTGGTAAATAGAAGTACAATGTAGAGCACATTTTCAGTTAACATGAGTTCTTTTAATCTTTTGTCCCTCAGTTTCCACTTGATTCCTTCACATTTCATGCCCACCTTATTTGTTTCCTGCATGGCTGAATTATCTATTATAAAACTGGATGAGAATTTCTGCAGTGGGAGAAGGCATACCTGACAGAGAGGGATGTGGAACCTGTGTGGGCAAATTTCTGATCTCATTATGAACACTGAGTTGAGAGCACTGACATGAGATATAACTGACCATTCATATCTTAGATAGAAGGTCGAAGGTTGAGCTACTCTGAAATTTCCTCTTGAAACATTTCCTAACTGTGCCTATGGAGGCATGAGAAAGACTAAGGATCATATTGAGAATATAGGGAAATTTAGTGAGGAAAATTTAGTTTTATATAGTGACAGCTTTGGACCTTATGTAGGTTTGAACAGTTTCACAGTTCCCACCTTATAGACTTCCTGTTTGCTCCTTCCACCATCACAGCTCCCAGGCAGCCTCATTGATCTGATAATAATAATTTAATAATTATTTAATAATTTCTATAAAATCTCATTTCAGATTTAGCACTTTGCCTTCTTGTTTAACCTTTACCAGTTCTTTTTCTCCCCAGCATTTTACTAGAGGAGCTAGCCAGTACAGTTAGGCAAGAAAAAGAAATCATAAGCATATTCAGGTTCTACAGAAACTTTAAGTTATTGAAAAGACTTGAATACAACTAAATAAGAAAAAAAGCCAATTCTATATTATCTATTCCAGAAAAGAGGAGGGCTCCCTGACATACTTTATGAGACTACCATTATCTTGATGCTAAAGCCAGAGATATTACAAGAAAATTCTAACTGACCAGTATTTTTACTGAACATAGCCATAGCCATTTTTAATAGACTATTTGCAAATCAAATCTAGAAATATTTTTTTTTAAAAGGTACATCATGGCCAAGTAGAGTTTCATTCAAGAATGCAAAGTTGGTTCATTATACAAAGAAAAGATTTTGGTATACTTCCACATACCAAGAGCCTAGAAAGTATAACTATATGATCATTTCTATATATAGGGGGAAATATTTGACAAAAATTCCATATCCATTTAGAATAAAACTCAGTAACAGAATAAAGGCCAGCTTCCTCAAATAGTTGAAGGACATCTATAGAACATCTAAAGTTAGTATATTTAATAGTGAAAGACTGTTTGCCTCAAGATTGGGAAAAAATTAAAGATGTCTGCTCTACTTTCCTTGGTGAATATTGTACTGGTGATCTTAGCCAGGGCAGTAGGGAAAGCAAAAAGACAGGGGTTGGGGTGGAATAGGTGAGTGGAGTATAGTCAGGAAAGGAAAATAAAATTGTCTTTATTTACAGACAACATGGTCTTCTACACAGAAGATTTCAAAAGGTATTTAAAATTCTAAGGACTTCCCTGGTGAGCCAGTGCTCCACACTCCCAATGCAGAGGGCACAGGTTTGATTCCTGGTTGGGGAACTTAGATCCTGCATGCCTCATGATGTGGCTGAAAAGTAGGTTAATTTTTAAAAATCTACTAGACCTGATAAATGTGCTTTACAAAGTATCTAAGTAGACAAGGAGATACTCTATATTTACAGATGAAAAGATTCAATATTGATAAGGTATGAACTTTCCTCAAATTAATCTATATATTTATTGCAATCACCCACAAAAAAGATCTCAGCAGGCATTTGTGTAGAATTTGACAACCAGACTCCAAAATTTCTATGAAAATGTAAAAGACCTAGAATAAACAAGATATCTTTGAGAAGAAAGAAAACTTGTATTACCTGATTTCAAGGCTTATTATAAAGTTAGAGTAATCGAGAACATAGTATTGTCATAAGAATAGATAGGTCAATGAAATAGTATAATCTAAAAATCAAACCACACATACAACAGATTTTTAACAAAGTTATCAAGGTAACTCAATGGACAAAAGGTAGTCTTTCCAATAGACAATGCTGGAACATTTGGAAATCCATGTGCAAAAACAAAACAAAACCCCTTGATTCCTAGTTCATACTCATATAAAACAATTTGGAAAAAATCACGAGCATGAAATACCCATAAAATTCTCTTTGTGTTATCTTTGCAGATGAATTCTTGACATACCTCCCCACATTGATTCTTAATATTTTAGGTATCATTTTTGTTTTGTTATTGCCAGCTCTACATCATAATACTTACACACCAGGCACAGCCAGGTTAGTATCATTTCTATTCATGTAGTTATAGCCAGGAATTTCACCTTCCTCTTGTGCTTGTTAAGTCTCAATATTTGAGTCCTTATCTGCAGTAGCCCCGGAGGAACCCATTCAATAATTTTGGTGAGGACTTTCAGTGGTACAACATATGATGCAACTTGAGGGTTCTGCATTCTTATGGTTGGTGCTCTAACTGAATTACAGAGGTTTTAATATGTTTCTGTGATAGGGAAATACTGAATTTCTGACTTGGTGAGGAGATTGAAAATTCATAGAATTCTCTAGGAAGTCATTGTTACTGTCCAGCAGCTAGTTTTGTGAATTTAGAGCTGTGAGGGATCTCAGGTAATCCTTGAGATGGTTATCCGGGATCATCTCCAGTCTCCTAAAGGACTGAACTACTTTCTCACCACCCGGAGCTTCATCACCTTGTTGGTAATAGGCAGCACACTCATCATGGCCTGTCTCTTTACCAGTGCATGCCATTGTCATCACAGCCTCCTCTTAGAATCCTCACCAAACTGAAAAAGAGAGCATCTTTATGCAAAGGCTGGTATCAATATTTTAAAGCCAGAAAACTGCTTTAAAGGTCAGCACACATTTTCCATCTTTAAAAGAAAAACAGAAAAACTGTCTTTAGTTCCTTTATACATAAGAGAAAATCGAGATATTAAGAGTAAAAGCAAAACAAAGAGTAACTTGGTTTCCACTCATCGGAAATCATAATTCAAACCCAGATATTCTGATGCCAGGGTCTATACACTTAACCACTGTGTTAGACTGCCCCTCTTTCCATTGTAGACTGTTTCTTGAACTATTATTATTTTATGGGTTTTGATGCCTGCTCAAAGGTACTCCCCTTCTATTTAGCCAAATTTAATTATCGAAAAAAAAATCTTTAAAAGTCATTTTTAATTGATTTAAAGATTTAATTCTAATTTTTGATGTTCAGAAAGGAGCTCCCCTAGATCCTAGAAATGAGATAGCTTGTTGATAAACATGGAAATTGAATCATGGATTTTTAAAAGAGCTCAGAGAATCAGAATCTGAAGAACAAAGGTAAAGCCATTGGTACTATGCATTCAGAGACCCTCCTAAGCTCTGGCCCTCTAAAATTGAAACATCTAGAAATATAGTCCCTTAGGAACTGTGTCCTGATTGATGATACTCTGTTGCAGGTGGTACCAACAGATACTGGCTCCAGATTTTGTTGAGATGATCAACAGGAAATTTAATGCCTCATATTGCTTTGGGATTCCTTATGTAAGGAGATTCTTGGAGAGCTCCCACATATGGCTGGCTGAAGAGTGTCACATCCACTATTGTACTTGCCAGAGGTAGGCCAAGCCAATCTTTGGAGGGGTCATATGTTCATATAATGGCAAAACATGACCATGTACTTACTGTAAGACTTTTATACTGTATATGAAGTGGTATATTCAGTTCAGTTCAGTTGCTCAGTCGTGTCCGACTCTTTGCAACCCCATGAATCACAGCACGCCAGGCCTCCCTGTCCATCACCAACTCCTGGAGTCTACCCAAACCCATGTCCATCGAGTTGGTGATGCCATCCAGCCATCTCATCCTCTGTCGTCCCCTTCTCCTCCTGTCCCCACTCCTTCCCAGCATTAGGGTCTTTTCCAATGAGTGAACTCTGCATGAGCTGTACAGAGTATTGGAGTTTCAACCTCAACATCAGTCCTTGCAATGAACACCCAGGACTGATCTCCTTTAGGATGGACTGGTTGGATCTCCTTGCAATCCAAGGGACTCTCAAGAGTCTTCTCCAATACCACAGTTCAAAAGCATCAATTCTTTGGCACTCAGCTTTCTTCATTGTCCAACTCTCACATCCATACATGACTACTGGAGAAACCATAGCCTTGACTAGACGGACCTTTGTTGGCAAAGTAATGTCTCTGCTTTTAAATATGCTGTCTAGGTTGGTCATAACTTTCCTTCCAAGGAGTAAGCGCCTTTTACTTTCATGGCTGCAATCACCATCTGCAGTGATTTTCGATCCCAGAAAAATAAAGTTTGTCACTGTTTCCGCTGTTTCCCCATCTATTTGCCATGAAGTGATGGGACCAGATGCCATGATCTTAGTTTTCTGCATGTTGAGTTTTAAGCCAACTTTTTCACTCTCCTCTTTCATCAAGAGGCTTTTTAGTTCTTCACTTTTTGCCATAAGGGTAGTGTCATCTGCATATCTGAGCTTATTGATCTTTCTCCCGGCAATCTTGATTCTAGCTTGTGCTTCATCCATCTTGTGCTTCATCCAGCCCAGATTTGGATCCTAATAAATTTGGAGCCTAATAAAATGAGGCATTTAGAAATTTGATGTTCTGCACCTAACCTAGAAAGATAAAAATGCTTATTTCCTTGTGATAAATCTAAATTTCCTTCTAACCTTCTGGATACATTAGCTCCATGCTCTGAGGCATACTCTGTGGTGTCTGACACCCTCATAAACAGCTTGGGATGAGTGTGTGTTTGTGGGTTGTGTGGTAGGGTAGGGAGTGTCATGATTAATGATGATGAAACGTTCCTGTTCTTTCCCACTAGCTGGGTTATTTTTTCCTTTTGCACTCATTGCCCAACCTTTCCCCACACTTGTGATTTTTCTGTAGATGCTCTGTGACAGCCCCATGAATCATCCCTTCATTGTATGGCTGTATGATCTGTTTGCCCTGCAGTGAATCAAGTCAAGCACTGTAGAAAGGAACTTCCTTCCATAAGATCTCCACTCAGCAGGGAGAATTCATTGAGTTCAAAGGTTTTTTTTGAGACCAGTAAATTCCATAGACTCAGTCCTTAATGTTCCTTGGTCTTACCATACCCATGTGATGATCCACCTCTGCATAACTCCCAGATATCAAACACCTTCAAGCTCATCCAGTTCTGTGTACATAGGATGGGCTTAGTTTCTCTAGCATTCAAAAAACATTGTTTTCTGGAAAACAATCACATTGTCAAACGCTTTGAGTGGGGCTGTCTTCTGCAGAATGGATGAAGTTGACTCAGGACATGCATCGATGCTTGTGTCTATCAGTCTGAATTCAGCTCATTTCCACTAGCTGGAGAGTGAGCTGAGTGCTACCTGAAAATATGCGGTGGGGTGGTGGGGGAGGGTGTTTCTTTTCCAAGCCTGATAAAACTATGTTCTTCAATTCTCAGGTTTTCTGAGACCTTAACTCTCTATTTTCCTCTGGTCTCCCACTCACTAAAGAACAGCTAGGGGTTCTGTGTTTCTTGCTGCTCTAGAGCCTGTTGCATGGAGAGAGGAAAGGGTAACTCGTGGTCCACTGTACATTTTAAGATCACTATAAGAAGTGGAGAGCAATGCTTATTCTCCCAGCCTGTGTGTGTATATGCTTAATCGCTCAGTCATGTCTCTTTGTGACCCTATGGACTGTAGCCTGTCAGGCTCCTCTGTCCATAGAATTCTCCAGGCAAAAATACTGGAGTGGGTAACCATTCCCTTCTCCAGGGCATCTTCCTGACCCAGAGATTGAACCCAGGTTCCCACATTGAGGGCAGATTCTTTAACCTCTGAGCCACCAGGGAAGCTGTAACCTACATCAGGACTATAAAGAGTTCTAGGGGTACAGGTGGAAGATTTTTCCACCCAAGTATTCGTGGTCATGGAGAATTCCTCCTTACCATTCTCAATTTAGGACTCCCAAACTCCAGTTCCATTTTGGGAGCATGTGAAGTTTGTTGCTTATTATTCCTGGAGGTTCAGTAGGAAATGTTGGCCCTTTTTGATGCCTGTGTAACCCCAGCCATTCCAACCATGGTAATATACAGTTCAAAATAATGATGGAACAGGGGGAGAGCTAAGTCCAGCCCTTGGGCATGGAATTAATGGGTTTCCTCATTTTTCAAAGCTTCTGAATTTTTTCTATAAAGGTAGTATTATAAAAAGTATTAAGCATGGTATCTTCAGAGAGATAAATGGAGCAACTTGAGATGGTAGTGGGTACCATGCCACCGTCACTGGCCCTCCCTAACTCTCATCAGCTTCAAGAAGTTAAGCCAGCTCTCAGTCAGAGAGAAAAACTGACTGCTTGCTTTTCTCTAAGCTCCAGTTCTTGGGATACTCTAAACTTCTCACAAATGCAGCAGAGACAAAGGACACCATTCTTAATTTAGAATAAATATATTTGAGACTATGAAAAACTGAACACAGTGTCTTCAGTAGTGAGAGAACCAGCTAATTTCCTCTGTATAGAAACATTTGAGAGAAATTTTGCTGGCAACAAAAAGGGAATAGAAAGGACTTATGATTGACCAGAAGAAATACCATCCCCCCGCCCCCCCTGCCGCCCAGAGACAGGTCCTGGGGCAGGTATGAGAATGGTCTGTTGGACCTGGCATCCTTGGTCCAGGCTCCCTGACAAGGTTCAAACACAGTAGCTCATTCTGGAAGCTCACAATTTTCATGAGTTTTATGATTCTGTGATCTGCCTATTGTTTAGAGCATTTAGCAATGTAAGAATCTACTTGAAGGGGTCAGGCTGTGTTCCTCATCCTTTTCTTTCCCACAGTGATGTAGGGATCTTTGTAATCACAGGAAAATATCTCTTTGAACTCAACCTGGACCTTGGGTTACTCAGGCAGACTTTCTTTCCTTGATTAGTTCTGTTCCTAATCTCAGTTTTTCTTTAGGATCTAGCCAGTGGCTGACTTTTCTTCTGAGTTTCAATATCCCCTTTGCCCATGGATGCAGTTCTGATTTCTAGTGAATCTGAGCTCTGCACAGAAGTCGACAGTGTCTTGGTTTTGTGCCATGAATCTGTCTTCTATTCAGTGGATAAAACCACTGGAACACATGTCTATTCCTGTTTTCTAAGTACTCTTTTGTCAGCCTTATGGTAGGTAGTAGGATGGCATGTTACTAGAAGTCCCTGCTATAAGACTGTCCTGTGTAGAGGCTGTCCTGTTTAAAGTCTCCAATTCTGCATCCCCTTTTTGCTTTTCTCTAGCTAAGGGTTTCCTATGGTACTTAGGATCTTCTCTCTCTTAAGTTGGTGATAGATTCTTGTCCTGTTTGCTCCCCTCCCCAGCCTAAGCCAGTGAGCAAAACCTTAGGGGGATGACTATGTGGCCATCTGGCCCTCTTCACCCACAGGTAAGCATGCAGGAGATGAAATTTTTCTTTTCCTTGATCTGCTTAAGGAGTTTCCTCCAAGGGGCTTGCAGCTTCAGCTATATAGTCAGCCTTTGAAATATAGATGGCTGAAGAGGGAAAGGTCTCTTCAGAAGTGTGGGGTCAGGTGAGGAGTTAGGGTACAGAGACAAAAGGGGTCTAGAATCTGAGTGTTTTGGAGGGTAGGAAGGAAAAGGGAAGAGGTGATGTGAAAGAAGATCCATCTATATTGTTGGATTCAGCGTGAAATGGAACTCTGATGGAAGTTGGGCACCCAGTGTTGATGGTGAAAACAAGGAAACCAAGAAGGTAGTTCAGTCCAGTGGGAAGTTGGAGGCCAGAGAGAGTGATGACTCATGAGTCCCAGAGGAGACAGAGTCAGAACAGCACTTCTCCCAGATCCTTCTGCAACAGAGTATTTCCTTCTGCAGTTGCTCTCTTACACTCCTCAGGGCAGGATCTTGCTCTGATGGCTCTAAAAAGCCACATCAAAAGAGCTTGTGCAGGTGCCTGTAAGAGACAAGAGGTAAAAATAGTATCCAGGAGCAGAATGGGGACAGGCTAGCCTAGCAGACCTGACAAATGGCATGTTTCTCCACATTTCCTGGTACCCTTATCTCAACCCAAGGTTTCCTTTCACTTTCCATTCTCTATATGTCCCCTTTTTGTGCCATCCCAACTCCTATGGGGTCCTGGAATTTCCAGAAACAAGCCAGGAAGAAGGATATATGGGAAAATAAGAGATTACTTTTTTCTAAAGAGAAAATTGGTGCCCTTAAGGGAAGCTCTCAAGTTAGGAAAATAGCCTATTGGTTGAAAGAAGAAGCAAGGCATCTTACAGGAAGCTTTGTAGAATGTTCAACTGAGAAAAGACTATTTCAAAATTTGCCAAGAGCCCCAGGAATTAAGACATAATGTGAAAAGATCAATGAGAAAATCATTAGGCAGACACAGGTGCAGTGCTGTGTCATTTACAAAGTGCTTCCATGCACATTGATCCCAACTGACAGTCACAACATTCCTGTGAGGGTGGCAAGCCAGATGCTCTCTCAAGGAATGAGGCTGAATATCATGAAAGTTAACAACTTGTACAAAGTCAGGTCCCAAAATGTTGCCTCCAAAACAACCTGTACTGCTTCTGCCATCTCACACCACCACCCCATGGGCACAACTCACTGCCCAGCTCCACTGAAATTCCTGTGGAGAAGAGAGAAGGAATTAGAAGTGTGCCAGTTTCTGATTTACTGTCAATGTACTCTCCTCAGGGGGCTATCCTTTTTGAGGGCTGGCTTTAGGAACTGATGTCCCAACAGTTGTGGACCTGAGATCTCATGAAAGGAGCTAAAAGGATATCCCTCGGGGAGGCCTGGGTTGAGTAGCAAAACCTTAGCTTTTTAAGTTCCCACTTTCTCCTCCTGCCACTGAGTTGATGTGAAAGACAAGGGAAAAAATGAAAAAGGGGATCCATTTCTTATACTTCCAATTCTAAGCAAGCAGCAGACATTCATTAATAAGTACAGTGACATTATATATTGATAAAATTGAATTCTGTACTGTTTCCATGTTGGAAGGAGGAGAAAGAGATCTTATAGGAAGCTTTGTAGAATGTTCAGCTGAGAAAAGACTATTTCAAAATTTGCCCTGAGAGCCCCAGGAATTAAGACTTAATGTCACTGGGCATACACACTGAGGAAACCAGATCTGAAAGAGACACGTGCACCCCAATGTTCATCGCAGCACTGTTTATAATAGCCAGGACATGGAAGCAACCTAGATGCCCATCAGCAGACGAATGGATAAGGAAGCTGTGGTACATATACACCATGGAATATTACTCAGCCATTAAAAAGAATTCATTTGAATCAGTTCTAATGAGATGGATGAAACTGGAGCCCATTATACAGAGTGAGGTAAGCCAGAAAGATAAAGAACATTGCAGCATACTAACACATATATATGGAATTTAGAAAGATGGTAATGATAACCCTATATGCAAAACAGAAAAAGAGACTCAGATGTACAGAACAGACTTTTGGACTCTGTGGGAGAAGGCAAAGGTGGGATGTTTTGAAAGAACAACATGTATATTATCTATAGTGAAACAGATCACCAGCCCAGGTGGGATGCATGAGACAAGTGCTCTGGCCTGGTACAGTGGGAAGACCCAGAGGAATTGGGTGGAGAGGGAGGTGGGAGTGGGGATCGGGATGGGGGAATACATGTAACTCCATGGCTGATTCATGTCAATGTATGACAAAACCCACTGAAATGTTGTGAAGTAATTAGCCTCCAACTAATAAAAATAAATGAAAAATTTAAAAAAAAAGACTTAATGTCAAAAGGTTAGAAAATCATAAGGCAGACATAGGTACATATTTGCATATTTGCATACATAAGGCAGACATAGGTGTGTATTTTCAACTGATTCTTCTATGTCAAACTCAAAGAATGACTTACTGCCTTTGGTACTCAGTTGATATTTCAAATAGTAGTCTACTGTAAAGGGGCACCGAAACTCACATTTTCTGGAATGTGTGTGCTCCATTCTGTAGGATTCTGCTTCATGAGTAGAATCTGTATTAGAGGCTTTTAGAGGCTCAACACTGCTCTCTTGAGTCAGCCCCAAAACAAGGGAGAGGCTTGGCCAGATAACACTTATAATAGGAAGGCAGCTGCTGAATAAGCATTGAAGGCCTGTTCTCTTCAGGTGCTCTGAACTCTCTTTAGGAACCAATCCATGGCCCATGAATCACAGTCACCACATCTAAGTAGGTGGTCTGTGAACTTTGGATAGAAACCCTAGTCTCCACTATATCTCTTGCCATCCAACCAGTCTTGTTAGTCAAATGATATATATTAATCTCTCCTGAGAATTCCCATTCCTGTTATCTCTCCATTCCAATAATTGATTTAGAATAGTGAGAATAGGAAAAGGAAAAATAAGAGTCAAGTCAGTCTCTATTGTGAACTGAGCCTAGAGTTCCCTTACCTGACAAATGTCTTTTTTTTTTCAAACATTGCTAATTATGTACACCACTGGATGCAGTATCAAGGCAGAAAGGAGACCCCAACTTTGTGCAAAAATAAAGGATGGAACCAATGCACCAGACTCAATAAATTCTGCAACCAGCCAAAGTTTCCTATCACCTAAAATGCACTTCTACCCAAGGAAGCTGAACACAGAAAATACCCACTCTGGTCTGGACTTCCAGACCTGCTTCACAGAGCTATGGAACAATCACAAAGGGTTTTGGAGTGTGGGAGAAGGGAAAATGAGGAAGGTGAACCCCATCCTCATCTTCCACTGCCCAGCCTAGCAGGTCTCATCATGAGCCCCTATATCATCCTGGTTTTTCCATTTACTGCCAATGAGGTTTCAGCATATTATATATGTTATATTGATTTATATAAATTTCATGTAAATAAATATATAATTGGTTGCTTTTGCCAGGAACATTTTTATGCCTTTCATATGTTCTTACTCATGTAACTCTCAATTATAATTCTATGATTTAAATACTATTATTGTCCCCTTGTTAAACAAAAGGAAACTAGGGAGCATATAATGTATGTTATTTGCCAAGGCCACACTGATAGCAAATAGCAGAGCCAGCATCCAGGCTCAGGACTTTGGCTCCATCACATTCTTTACCATCAGACTGTGTCGTGTAAAATATCGTGGACGTATGGATCAACAGTCCAAATCAATACAATCGGCTGACCACTTATCTCCATTTAGCACTTTGCATAGGAATTTCAAATGTACTCCTGATACCTTTCACTTGTGGCTCAGAACAGTGTGCAAAGGCATGAGACTCTGAGAGGAGGGACTTGCCTAGGGTCACAAGTGTTAAAGCACAGACAGATTTGAACCCACAACAAATTAGGATGCATTGTTTTCTTCTGCATTTCTCAGAAGACCCAGAGGAAACTGAGGCCAGGAGAGGTTAAATGTGTAGCAGTGGCCTATCTCCAGCTGGTCCAGCTTGTTACTCTACATGTGGTTGTTGCTACACTTGTACAAAGCCCTAGTTAGTCCTTTTCTCTGTATTGAATATTTGGTTGAAACCTGACCCTTCAGACTCCTTGGGGGGAGTCAGGATTCTTGACAGCACTCATGCAGGTGATAGAGTTATTTTCTTAGACCAGACAGGTGCTATGAGAAAATGAGAAGAGTATTAGGGAGATGAATAAGGCAGAGGGTGAGCAGGGCAGAGGCTGTCTGTGAATCAGGGGATCTGGTAGCAGTGACTTGTGAACACATTACCTGTCCTTAGAGCCCACAGTAACCTTTGGAGAAGAGTTATGGGCTTAAGTGTTTCCATTGGCACAGCTGGGTTCAGATCATAGCTCTGCAAGTCACTGGGTGTATACCCTGAATAGATCATTCAATCTTTCAGGATCCAGCTTTCTTTATTTGTAAAATAGTGTTGATAGTGTGACTACTCCCAAAATGACAGTTTTATTAAATAAGGTCAACTGTTATTTACCTTATAAGTGACATAAAAGTTGCCATCAATACATTTAATTTCTCTTCCCTTATATCCTGTCTTTCTTGATACTCCCCCCTTGATACTGATCTAGGGTAAGTATTAATGAGATATTACTTCTTTGCAAAAGAGAAATGAAAAATAGTGGAGTTTTTTCCCTAAGACCAGTTTATTTGTGTATGACTCAAAAAAAAAAAGCTGTACATATTTAATATATACAATTGGATGAGTTTGGAGATAATAGAAATGCTTTCTCTGAATGGCTTCTTAGTGTTGGGTTGTTTTATCAATTTTGAATGACTGGCAATAAGAACTAACTTTGGAGTATTCAACAGAGAGAAAAGAACATTGGATGTATAGGCAGAATGACTGTGAAAGAGAATAAAAACATGTTATGTACTGATGAGCAAGTTTAGGAATGACAGAAAACTTGTCGGTGGAAATAATGCAAACCAGAAGACAGTGGAGTAACTTCTTTACATTACTAAAAGAAAGAAAACTGTCCGTATGGAATTCTTGGCCCACTAGAAATATATGTCAAAAACAAAGGTTAAATGAAAATGTCTTCAAAACCACAAAAGCTGAAATTTATCACCAACAGACTTGCACTGCAAGAGAGTTTAAAGAAAGCCCTGAAAGCAGAATAGAAAATGACAAATGTGGAGCAGTAGGGTAAAAGATAGTATTTGGAGGGTAGCCACAAGAGTGGGAAGCTGAAGGTGAATTGAGACAAAGATCATTGAAACTGAGCAGAAAGATAAGGATTCAGATTCACTTTCAACAACACTGATATTAGTAATGCTAGTATTATTAATAGCAAATACTACTGAATGCTGGCTCTGATGCCAGGCACTATGCAAAGAGATTAACATTATTTAAGTTATTATAATGTCTATAAAAGTAATATTTGCATTATTTCCATCAACAAGTTTTCTGTCATTCCTAAACTAGCCCAGTAGACCCATTTCACCCAAAGTAAGCTAATGTTAGAAAAAAGGATAATGTTAACACTTCATATCTATCAAACAGACTTGTCATCAAATCCCAGTTCATTTATTTTCTATCTTTATGACTTTGGGTAAATTATGTCATGTCTCTGAATTTCAATGTCTTCATTTGTAAAATCACCTGCAGTGTGGGAGACCTGGGTTCACTACCTGGATTGGGAAGATCCCCTGGAGAAGAGAAAGACTACCCACTCCAGTATTCTGGCCTGGAGAATTCCATGGACTGCATAGTCCATGGAGTCTCAAAGAATCAGGCACGACTGAGCTACTTTCACTATCACTATTTGTAAAATGTGGATAATATTAATTTTATAGACATTATGAAGACTTAAATAATAGATGTTAATCTCTTTGCATAGTGCCTGGCATCAGAGTCAGCATTCAGTAGTATTTGCTATTATTAATAATACTAGCATTACTAATATCAGTGTTATTGAAAGTGAATCTGAATCCTTATCTTTCTGCTCAGTTTCAATGATCTTTGTCTCAATTCACCTTCAGCTTCCCACTCTTGTGGCTACCCTCCAAATACTATCTTTTACCCTACTGCTCCACATTTGTTATTTTATATTCTGACATTACATTTCTTGAGTACATCTTCCTAACTTTCCACATGTCACAGTAACCTACTTTTATCATACTTGCTCTTCAATTTAAGTTCTAAGATATTATTTCCACCTTATCTAGCAGATGGCCTGCTTTGTGTCTTCAAGAAAAAAATAGAGGTGTTCAGGAATGGAATTCATTCATGTTGCATCTTCTGACACGCAAAATTGTCTGCAAACCAATCATTTTATTTTTCTCTCCAGTCTCAGAATTATCCAAGGGTAATCATTGCATCTCTTCCCAAACTTTTTAAAAAAGTGGTCTAGAACTCCTTTCTACAGCTTTACTTTCTATTGACTAGTCATTTCAGTACATCATATCACCATATTCTGTTTCATGGCAATTACCTCTCTCTCTTTTTGTGTCACATGTAAGAGTCTATTTTCCAAATCTGATAGGCACTAACCTTAAATTAATGCAACCCTGAGAAGAGTCTTTCAGTGTGACTGCATATTCATTCCATTATCACTCTTTTCCATCCCATCACTCTTTGGTTTTCCTTTTTCCTCTCTGGTCATTTCCTCTCAGCTCCCCTATAAATTATTCTTCCTTCCTTCATCTGTCCCAGAAGGGTTATTTAGCATTTGCTAGGCTCTAACTTTCAGTCCTTTTCTGTCAAGGGGCAGCCTCAGTTCAAGATCAGTGAGTGGGCCAATGTGTTCATGCTTTCTGTCCCTCCCCAACTTCCCACATCCCTCCTGGTCTTGGGAAGTAGTAGCTCTCCCCTGTTCCTAGCCAGAGGATGCGTCTCCTCCAGGGATGTCTCTCTTGGATCAGCTGTGTCAGTCAGCTTCAACTAAGTTATGTTGCAGATAAATGCCTCCCCCAAAATCTTAGTGACTTGCAACTAAGAGTTTATTTCTTATTCCATTTACATACCTAGAGTGCATCAGCTCCGGGATTCAGGTTGATGGGTTATCTGGGATATTGCTAGTCTTAGCAGGAAGGAAAAAAAAGAGAAAGTGGTAAATGATGATGATTCTTAAAGACCTTCTTCAAAGGAGCACATAATTCACATCCATTAGCTGAAATAAGTCATATGTTCAGGTCTTAAATGTATGGTACAAAAGTCTAATTATCCCTCAGTGAGGGACGTCATGTAGCAGACAGACTTGAAGACAGTCCCTGTTTATACCAACACCTATATGGTCATCCTTTGTGCAATTCCCTTGAGTGTGGTCACAGGATCTGTGACTTGCCTCTAACATAGACTATGGCAAAAGTGACAGGGTGTCGCTTCTGTTATTATGTAACAAAGATGAAAATCTTATACTAGTAGATGTTCTTCCTTCTTAATTTTGATGAAGTACTCTGCTCATGTTGAGAGCTGCACTGAGGGGAGAGTGCCACGTTACAGGGAACCTGAGAGTCTACCTGAAGCCAACAAGGAAGAAAACGTGAAAAAATGAGTTCTGCCAATAACTCCAGTAAGCCTGGAAGTACATCCTTGTCTAGGTGAACATTCAATGAACTCTAGCCTTGACTGACAACTTCATTACAATATATGAGAAACACTGAAGCAAAGGACCCAGTTAAATTGTTCCTGAACTTCTGAGCTATAAAATCTAAGAGATAGCAAACCTGTATATTTTTTTTCAAATCATGAGTTTGGGGTAATTTTTAATGTAATAGTAGTCATAATATAGCAATGTTCAAAGGCTCTAATAAGATAGAAAATATTTTTAAAAAATAATTAAATTTGCCTGGTCTACTTATATGGCCACAAGTATTACCTCCTTTAACTTAGCATGCAAAATATCCTCACTCCCTCCCAAAAGGAGGCAACCAAAATTTCTGTCATTTTGGCCTGAGGCTGAAGGGTCAAGGTTTCATCATAGTTTCTATGTAAGTTTCAGATACACCTTCTCTTAATTCAGAGACCTGTGAACTAAAAATTACAACTTACCTGCCTCCAAAATCCAGTGTTCAGTGAAAGAACAGAGACAGAACAACCACAGTGAACATTCCCCACTTTGAAAGAGAAAGACTGGTTGTCTCTGGTTGTCTCTTACACTGATAGCCACTAATGAACAACTCCTAAGGTGTGCCTCTTTTAGTCCCCTCCTTTTGAATTTAAACTGGTCTTGTGACTTGTTTAAATAGTAGAAAACTACAGAAGTACATTTGGACTAACTCCTGTCCTAAGCCTTAAAAAGTCCTGACAGCTTCCAACTGTATACTGCCAGGGTCCAGGGTCCAGCCACCATAAGGAAGATGTGTGATTATCCTGAAACTACAATACTTTTAAGGAAACCTACGTGAGCCACCTGGAGAGGCCACATGGAGGAGAAGCAAAATGCATCAAATGACAGCCTCACCCGAGATTCCAGCCAATAGCATAGACCAACTGCCACCATCAGGGACATTCCAAATCAGTTGAACCCCCGGTGAGCCATCTTGGATATCCCAGACCAGTTGAGCCTTACGATGACTGCAGCCACAGTTCACCCCATACAGAGAAAAACTATTCAGGTGAGCCCAACTAATCCACAGAGTCAGGAGCAGCAATAAATGGTGGTTGCTGATTGCAGCCAGTGAGCAAGGCAGCTACAATGTCGCTGAGTACCTGGCCTACTGGTTGTGTCTGTATGTGTACAGCGGCCCTAAGATGGGAGGCCCCAAAGCAGCAGCAGAAGTGGTGGTGGGCACAGCCCCAAGAGAGTAAAAGGGGCACAGCTTTCAAATGGGACAGCACAGGGACCTGGGTGGTAGGCTGTTTGCTTCCAGACCTCATCTCTAAGAGTTTGCAATGATTAACTCTTGGTGCTGAGCACTGGGACAGGTACTACAGATGCCCAGCCTGTAAACTTTGTCAGTAAGTTATTATAAAATAACATCATATACATGGACATTGCAATAAAACATATCAGAAAGTTATTAGTATTATTCTGATTTTGGAAATTGCTGAGTCATTACAAAGCAAGTACCCATAGGCTTAAAGATAGAAATTAAATTTAAAGATCACACAATTTAACAGAAAAAAGCACTATCTTTATATGAAACTTGGCATAAACCAATTATTCAGAAGGCACCTTGAAAATTAATTTTTCCTTGTAGTTCATTAAATTGCCATTGCATAACCTTTCAATTCAGACAAGAAACTCACTTGTGTAAAGAGTTAAATCTTTCCAGAAAAAGTGTTATGTCACACTTAACAACTTTATGTGAACTATAGTTTATCCTTCAAAATAGCTTATCAGAAATATGTTCCAGGGTTGTCACCACCAAAAAAATACTCATCACAGCTCCAGTAACAGTTCTAGTAGCAGAAAGATCCTTTTCAAAGTTAGATATTAGGTACAATCTTACATTTACTAAAACTACCTTATGTTGCTTTCAGTTATATCCATATGAAAGTAAAGTTGCTAAAGCTGTGAATTGTGATGATCTAATAAATTTGCAGAGAGGTAAGCCAAAAAAATCAATGATCAGTCAAGAAGTCACAAGAGTATAGTATTTTATTCATTATTTTATTTAAGTTATAATGCCTAAATAGTAGTTTTTACAACTTAAAAATTTACAACTTAATTTTACAACTTAAAAATATCACTATTACCTCTTATATTTTCTAAGTAATAAACATTTTAAAGGTAAAATCTTTATATTTTAGTATTTTCAGTAATCTTTTCTTTGAGTTTTGAACAGGGTACCCATGTTACCATTTTGCAATGGAACCTAAGATTATGTAATATATCACACACACCTATTTACTCAATTATTTTTATTTTCTAATAAAATTTTTCATTTATAAAGCATATATATTTTATTTTAGTATTCTTTCAGTAGATTTATATGTTGATGCATTTTATAAAATTGCATACCTTTAAGAAAATCCTAAAGTTTTATATTATGGCTAGAGCACACTGCAGTTGTATATCAGCTCTTCTTGAAGAAACATAAACAGTAATTTGTACTATTTGAAGGAAAACAAGAAGAATTCCTACTACCCTGTGGTTTTTTTAGTTTAATTGGACGATACTTTTTTTACAATATTGTGTTGATGTCTGCCATACAACAATGTGCATCAGCCACAAGTATACCTATGTATCCTCCCTCTTGGACCTCCCTTTCAGCTCCCACCCCATCCCAGGCCTCTGGGTTACCACAGAGCACCAGGGTGAGCTCCCTGTGTTACACAGCAATTTTCTACTATCTGTTTTACATACGGTAATGTATATGTTTCAGCGCCACTCTCTCAATTCATCCTGCCCTCTCTTTCCCCTGCTGTGTCCACAAGTCTGTTCTCTTAAGTGAGGTGAAAGTTGCTCAGTAGTGTCCGACTCTTTGTGACCCCATGGACTATACAGTCCATGGAATTCTCCAGGCCAGAATACTGGAGGCTTTCCCTTCTCCAGGGGATCTTCCCAACCCAGGGTTCGAACCCTGGTCTCCCCCATTGCAGGTGGATTCTTTACCAGCTGAGCCACAAGGGAAACCCAAGAATACTGGAGTGGGTAGCCTATCCCTTCTCCAGCAGATCTTCCCCACCCAGGAATCAAGCCAGGGTCTCCTTCATTGCAGGTGGATTCTTTACCAACTGAGCTATCAGGGAAGCCCTCTGTTCTCTTTATCTACATCTCTAGTCCTGTCTTGCAATTAGTTTCATCAGTACCATTTTCTTAGATTCCATATATATGTGTTAATAATATACAGTAGCTCTTTTTCTCTGACTTCCTTCACTCTGTATAACAGGCTCTATGTGCATCCATGTCACTAGAACTGACCCAAATGTGTTCCTTTTATGGCTGAGTAATATTCCATTGTATACATGTACCACATCATCTTTATCTTCATCTGTCGATGGGCATCTGCATTGCTTCCATGTTCTGGCTATTTTAAATAGTGCTGCACTGTTTATAATAGCCAGGACATGGAAGCAACCTAGATGCCCATCAGCAGACAAATGGATAAGGAAGCTGTGGTACATATACACCATGGAATGTTACTCAGCCATTAAAAAGAATTCATTTGAATCGATTCTAATGAGATGGATGAAACTGGAGCCCATTATACAGAGTGAAGTAAGCCAGAAAGATAAAGACCAATACAGTATACTAACACATATATATGGAATTTAGAAAGATGGTAATGATAACCCTATATGCAAAACAGGAAAAGAGACATATGTGTACAGAACAGTCTTTTGGACTCTGTGGGAGAAGGTGAGGGTGGGATGTTTTCGAGAGAACAGCATCGAAACATGTATATTATCTAGGGTGAAACAGATCACCAGCCCAGGTTGGATGCATGAGACAAGTGCTCTGGCCTGGTGCACTGGGAAGACCCAGAGGGATAGGGTAGAGAGGGAGGTGGGAGGGGGGATCAGGATGGGGAATACATGTAGATCCATGGCTGATTCATATCAAAGTATGACAAAAACCACTTTATAATATTGTAAAGTAATTAGCCTCCAACTAATAAAAATAAATGGAAAAATAAATAAATAAATAAAATTTAAAAGAAAAAAGAAAAAAAAATAAATAGTGCTGCAATGATCACTGGGTACATGTGTTTTTTTAAATTATTGTTTTCTCAGGGTGTATGCCCAGTAGTGGGATTGCTGGATCATATGGTAGTTTTATTCTTGGTTTTGCAAGGAATCTCCATACTATTCTCCATAGTGGCTGTATTAATTTACATTCCACCAACACTGCAAGAGGGTTCCCTTTCTATATTTCCTCTCCAGTAGTTATTGTTGGGAGAAGGCAATGGCAACCCACTCCAGTACTCTTGCCTGGGAAATCCCATGGACAGAGGAGACTGGTAGGCTGCAATCCATGGGATTGCGAAGAGTCAGACATGACTGAGCAACTTCACTGACTTTTCACTTTCATGCACTGGAGAAGGAAATGGCAACCCACTCCAGTATTCTTGCCTGGACAATCCCACGGATGGGAGCCTGGTGGACTGCTGTCTATGGGGTCCCACAGAGTCAGACACGACTGAAGTGACTTAGCAGCAGCAGCAGTTATTGTAACCCTGGTTTTGATCCCAGTACTCTAAGTCACTCTCTGATTGATGTTCTTGGAGATGTCCCCCAAATTTAGAACAGTTCTGTCAGTTCTGCTGAATTACTTGAGTAAGAATTTCTTCATTCTGTGCTGGGGAAAAGGATTTAGGTAGCTGCAGCTATTAAGTGTATTGAATGTGAAAGTGTTACTCAGTGGTGTCTGACTCTTCGCGACTCCATGGACTGTAGCCCACTTGGCTCCTCTGTCCATGGAATTCTCCAGGCAAGAATACTGGAGTGGGTTGCCATGTCCTTCTCCAAGGGATCTTCCTGACCCAGGGGTTGAACCCAGGACTCCCACATTACAGGCAGATTCTTTACCGTTTGAACTACTTGGGAAGCCCAGTAAGTGTATTAAATGTTACTTAATATTACATATTCTGTAGGGGCATAGAAGATGACTTAGGATTGCCTATAGTTGAAAAGGTGGTTGTTAGAGAAAAGGTTGGCCTGGGAGTTTAGAGATAATATTGTAAGAGTTAGTGAACATTAGTTGAGATTGTCAGAAATGAGACGGATTCTATGATAAACAGCAACTATGTAAAAACTAAGTCACCCAGTAATTTTGATAGGTTAATTTATAACTTCTTATAACTTCTTTGTGTTCATGGTGTCTTCCCTCATTATTAGCCATAAATCTGTGAATCAGACCTGCTGATGCTGGCCTCTGAATGTAGTGGCTACTGTGATACTGGCAGCCATATCCCAGGGAGTGAGATCATGAGAGGATTTGTTTACATTTCATTCAGTTGACAGAGTCTGTAGAGAAAAGTCTAGAATAAGTTCTTAAGTTGTCATTGCCATTATTAAGATACTGGACTGAATGCTGTGAGAAACAAACTTCAAAGCTCTCAAAAATTGTAATAAGCATGTGACTTGAGAGTTAAAGACTGGCAATAAAAATAACAGTGTAAGTGACCTACTTGACAACTCTTTCTTCTACATCTTAATTAATTTTTTAAATATGTTTTGCTTTATTTTATTTTGAAATTATTTATATGGGATAAACATTTTAAATGCATTTCTCTAAAATGCTTATTAACTCACTATAATTATATGTATTATATATAGATATATATGATTCATCCCAGTTGAATGATTTACTTTATTGCAAATGTTCTTCTTATGCTGAATCCCCTTAGATTTTAAATTCAAAATCTGAATAGTGTTGCATGACATTTGACACATAAGTTTGATCTCTATGGAAAACTAAGCCAAATATCATGGGCTCCATGATAAAATATCTAGTTCATAAGCAAGAACCAAATTAATCATAATATGGAGTAATTTTTGTTTTCTA